CAAGACGATGTGGAAAAGTTTTATTCATGCGTAAAGTGTTAAACAAGTCTGATCTAATTAATGAAACCGATCTTTCCTTTTATGATATACTTACTTAATGTATAATTTGAAAAAACTACTAATTTGATCTAACCGTAAATCAATTATTTGTTTCTTGTAAAACTGTTTAAATTAATATTATTTTATAAACATTTTACAAGTGTTCTTTTCACGTTTAATCTTTAAATTGCACAAACAGTGCATAAATACTCATACCATTAATATTAATATACTGCATCTGAATATTGTTTATTAAGACAAAAAGAGTAATTTATTGAAAGGAAGAACAAAAGTTCTGAATGTTACCCCATTTTTCAAAATGAAAAAGTGTCTAACATTCTGAAAGATACATGAACGTACTTCTAAAACTCTACACAATATGCTACGAACAAAATAACAAGTATATTACATAAAAGAAGAAGACTTCAAAAAATTTTACATGTTCATAAAAAGAAGTAAATTATTCAACAACTTGAAAACAATAATAAAAATATGCATATACGCACTAATAGGTTTAAAGTGAAATCGAATTACTACATTATTATTTTGTATATATTGTAATCACTTACAATAAATACAAAATTTTTAATAACAAGATTTTTCAAATAACTGAATATTCTAATGATTATAACATATTATTGTTCGATATTAATAGTAATATTATTAGAATTAAAATGCTACTACATTCTCTTCCTTCTAAAGTCAACATTATTACAATTGTAAATACTAATACTACTACTACTACTATTACTACTACTACTACTACCACTACTACTACTACTACTACTACTACTACTACTACTACTACTACTCTCAATTGTTGCTGCTGCTGCTTCTATTACTAGTACTTCTACTACACCACTATTACTACTACTACTACTACTGCTGCTACTACTATTGTTACCACCACTACTATTGCTGCTGCTACTGTTATTACACTACTACTACTACTACTATTACTACTACTACTACTACTATCACTACTACTATTACTACTTCTATTACTATTGCTAATATTACTATTACAACTATTTTTACTACCAATATTAAAAATACTATTTCTATCACTACCATCAAGTATTACTACTATTAATTACTTACTATTTATTGTTATCACTTACATACCTACGTACTATTTTTTAATATTTATTATTATTAATTATCATTACCATTTTCATCACTATCATCACTAACATTGTCCACTGCTGCCATTAACATTATTATTATTACCACTTATATTACTATTAATAGTGCTCTATTATTTCTATTAATGTTCTTACAATTCTTACCATCATATTATTTTGTGCATTCTGTTACTCTTCATTTATTTTTCTGTACTATTATTTTTACTGCTATTATATCTTTACTGCTTGAGATACTATTACCGTTCCTACTGCTGCTGTAAAATTATTATCATTGTTAATATTTCTGTAACTACTATTATCATTGTTATATTAATGCTATTATTATTTTCATACTTATATTTTTACTACTGTTAGAACAACTGCTGTTATTATTAGTATTATGACTATTATAATGATTATTATAATAGTCCGTCCGCCGTCATTATTACTATACTGTAACTGCTAAACTAGATAATAATATTATTTCTACTATACTACTAACATAACTGCTAATAGAGTGAATACTACATTTAATATATGAATCGTCAATGCTTTCACCATGTGTATAATAATATTTATTATTTATATTGCATTGTTATTATAATTTATGATGTTATTTCTTTATCTATTGCTCATCATTTTGAGCAATTATAATCAAAATTGCAGTGCCAGTATTAATATAAAATATGATTATTATTTACTAAGATATTTTAAGATTATATTAATAATGAAAAGAATAAATACCGAAAGTTTATTTAAGCGAATGAAATACATAAACATGTAAAAAGTGTGTACGATTCATAAATAGCATTTGTGTGCAAGTGAGAAGTATAATCTTGATAAATTATTGTGGTACCCATTTTTTAATAATGATAATATATAATTAATTAATAAACAAGTTTAAGAAAATGTTACTGTATACATCTTAAGATATTATACATAATTTAAGAAAACAGGGTAGTTGCAAATATGTACATCGCAAAATCTTTTTTTCTCCTGATATGCGTCGTGAGGAGAAAGAAGAGTTTGTCTTTACCTTGAATAATGTCCCTTATCTAAGTAATTAATAATTTGCAATTAAATAAAAATTACAACAGAAATAATTTTTGGTTATTTATGTATTATTATTTATGTATTATTATTTATGTATTATTATTTATTATTGTAACTTAGATATAATTGTAACTTAGATATCCTTTGTAATCAATTATGATAAAAAATTTGTAATGATGTAACACTCGATTTATTAAATCTAAATGAGATTTAAATCTAACATGTTGATTTTTTTCTTCTTCTGTGTTTCTAATAATTATACTTTATAGCTTTATAAATTTTGGAAACATCATTCCGATAAAAAATTTTTTATAAATGAATATACAAAAATATGTATAAACATGTATAAACATTCATAAACATACATAATTATGTATAAGATTACATTAATAATGAAAAAAATAAATACCGAAAATTTATTTAAGCGAATGAAATACATAAACATGTAAAAAGTGTGTACAATTCAAAAATAGCATTTGTGTGCAAGTGAGAAGTATCTATATATGTTCACCTTTAAAAATGTAAACGATTATCTAATAATATATTATTTAACAATATACATTACCATGAAAAGTAACTGATATATTATTTAAAGTCCCAATTTAAACATACATAAAGCGTATTCTCAAAAATGTGAACCTTTAAAAATTTAAATGAGTATCTGATAATATATTACCATGACAAGTAACTGATATCAAAATGATTATCAAAAGTGCCAGTTCAAATTGAACATATATAAAGTGTATATATTATCTAAATTTAATATAATATATTATCATGAAAAGTAACTTATATGTTATTGAAGGTGCGAGTTCAAAAAGTGCGAACCTACATACATACAAGTAAAACAGATAACAATTTCATTCTAGAAAATAAGTGCAATATGTTATTCTTAGTGCACAAAACATAAAAGTTGTTTATTGAGATTTGATTTGAAATTTATATTAGCCCATACAATGAAAAATAATTGCTCGTAATTCCAGAATACCAATTTGTTAATAACTTTGAAAAAGAACATGGCGGCCTGCTCTCGAAACTTTGATGAATTTCTCGATGTCACTTAGAAATAATGTCGAAGCTTTTACAAAGTAATCGAGAGGATGGGTGGAATGAAAACATAACTCTACTTAGGCCCTTTTTTAAAAAATTAGCTTTTTTATATAATATTGATCGTAATAGGGAAATATATTGTTAACTTCTTAAGGACATTACATAAATTTATTTGATACTGTACCCGTTTGTGTATAACAAAAAAGTAGTAAGTTATTTTAATTTTTATTAAAATCAAGATTTTGTATCAGACCTTTGTTCTGCCCATCATTTATTACAACACTTAAAGTACGAAAAGTATTATATTAGAATGGTATTTTCATAAGCTTTATAACGAAGTGAATATATATTACATCAGTAAACTTTTAACCATATAGCTTTTTTGTACTTGACCCGAGAACATTGTATTTATGAATTTTGGATTTACTTAATATTTGCTTGTTTTAGGCAATAAGGCAACGTTTTTTGGTCTCTGATAAATCACTCGTTGAAAGTACGGTAATACCTCAAAATCGGAAGTTGATACGAAAATTTAAAATTTTACTAAAGGAAGATTTATGTTTTAAATTACAAGCAATTATTTTTCATTGTACGAACTAGTATAAATTTCAAATCAAATCTCAATAAACGACTTTTATGTTTTGTACACTAAGACATACCAACTTATCCAACATATCCAACTTATTTTCTAGAATGAAATTGTTATCTGTTTTACTTGTATATATGTATGTTCGTTTTGAACTCGCACCTTCAATAACATATAAGTTACTTTTCATGATAATATGTTATATTAAATTTAGGTAATATATACACTTTATGTATGTTCACTTTGAACTAGTACCTTCAATAATATATCAGTTACTTGTCATAGTAATATATTCGATAATCATTTAAATTTTTAAAGGTTTACATTTTTGAGATTGCGCTTTATGTTCACTTTAAACTGATGATATATATTGTTAGATAATCATTTAAATTTTAAAAGGTTTACATTTTTGAAGATCTGTTTTTGAATATAGCCTTATCTTCATTTTAATGAATTTTAGAAATATATCACGTACTTTTCAGAGTACAGATATACGAAGCAACTTTTTAATAAGTATCATAAATGTATATATTTTCGACTCCAATCACGTAATTCTCTTCTTGCGTTTGGCACGGATCCTCATCGAGCAATGCCTCCAATTCAGCGTCTTCGAAGGTTTTTGGCCTTCCTTCACGCGGACGGTCGTCAACATCGAAATCACCGTCTTTGAAGCGACGGAAATCTCGGCACGTTGTTTCACTTAGAGCAGTATCTCCGTAAACTTTTTGGAGCTCTCTATGCGCTTCAGCCGCCGTTTTCTTCGAATGAAAGAAGAAAATCAATACTTCCCGCATATGATGATTACTTGGCACAAAATCAGACATTTTCACACAACCAAAAGAATATGACGTAAAAACAAAATCACTAATGTTTCAAAGCGGTTTGTTTACCATATGTTTAAGCTTGGTTCATGACGTTTAGGTTATGTCAGAATCGACCAGCACTTACTGCTGGAGCCATCTGTTGACAAACAGCGGGAACTTAGTTGCGCACCTAATATATATATATATCATGCATAAATATTATATTTAATAGTACATATGTAACTTTTAATTATAATAAATATTGACCATACATTACATATATTTACTTCAATTGCAACAGAATGAATTCTTAATATTCTATGAATATACTTAAAATAAAGAATGGGCCGTCCATCGCTCATTCTCGTGAGGATGCATATTTTCTTCGTCTCTTCGATTTTAACATAACCTTTAATATTTATTTTCAAAATCAAAATAAATATTAAAGGTTGATTGCAACAGAATGAATTTTTAATATTGTATAATTTTTTTTGTTTGCGAGGAGGAGAAAAATCTTCACATAGTTCCTCATCCGAGATGTTCTCGAAAGAGAACCTAACCGGATGACACAGGAAAGACACAGGAGTCAGTCTCCTGATTGTGCAGGATTCGATGAGTCTGCGTCCCTCCTATAAGGAACGACAGCGGACCGCCTACCTGCTTAAAAACTCTCCCTATTCAGCACCTCCGTAAGATCACATTGAGCACATCTCGGAACCGCCTACCCGACAGCATTTCATCAGGGTACACCCAAGTGGAATATACGTTCCCACCTCCATGATCCGGTATATTACTTAAAGCTAGAATTCTATCCTATATTATATTAAATATTATCCTAAGTATGTACATTATATATACATTTTTACACATGGTTGTCGTCAGATCCCAAACAGGCCCGAGCTAAAGGAGCCCTTTGTCTCTTCAGAGCCTGACGCTCCCACTCGGCTCGCATTCTTGCGCATGACGGCCTCGCAGAAATCCGCGAGGGCCGTCCAACACATAGCTGCCCTGACAATGGAGCCATATGTCCTGTCAAGGACATCGAGCAACCGCTAAAAAGTGACGTCCTCTCTGCGACCCAAGATGGGCAAAACAGTGCATCGTCATATCCACAGTCGCATGACAACGCGTATTAATCGGCGACGCGTTACGCTATATATCAAAAAGATAGGCCTCAAGCACCCATGATCCATTAATCTGGGTCATGCGAATTGTATAAATACACTAAAAATAAAGAATGAGCCCCACTCTCGTGAGAACGCAACCACATTTTCTTTATCTCTTCGATTTTAACATGATCTTTGATATAGAGATTCATTTCTTAATAATACTTTGAAATATCATGAAGTTTTTTGACTATGATTTTTGTTATTCATAGTAATATATCGATACCTAAGGCAAGCCAGAACTTTATTGCATTCGTTTTAAATCTTACGGCAATCTACATGCAGCGTCAGAGCAGCCGATGTGTTATTTCCGCGCTTACGGCAATCTTTATACAATACTAGAGCAATCGATGTTTTAATGCAGCATTTACGACAGCGTTTATACGGTGCTAAAGCAGACGATTAATTCAATATTCTGAAAATAAAATTTAATTATAAACTTCAAAAATTTATTAAGGTTCATGTAAATGTACTTGAAGAATTGCGTTCTATTCCAAGAAAGTGTCATTATATATAAAAGTATTGTCACACTTACTTAATCTGCTCGAAGAACAACATGTATGCCCCTTGTGTTCCTTTGGGCCATTTCTTCTTGATAACTTGTAAATCATTAGAGTAACACCATTCCGACTTTTTGAATGATCTCAACATTATTGTAAAAAACTGGTTATATCATTTATGATTCAAAGTATTGTCCATCGCTGGCCACTACTTTCTCCCATCTTTCGGGCAGCGTACGAATCCCGCGTCGAAAAAACTGGTCATCTTTTGAGGCGATCCACGAATCGATCCAATTTTTTATTTCTTCATAAGACCGAAAGTGCTGGTCAGGCCGTGTGCCATTGATCGAAACAAGTGATGAACAAGTTAGAGGGAGCAACGTCTGGAGAAATACGGCGGGTGGGGTAGGACTTCCCATTTCAACGTTTCCAAGTATGTCTTGACCACTTTCGCAACATGGGGTCGAGCATTGTCATGCTGCAAAATCACTTTATCGTGTCTCTCGTTGTATTGCGGTCGTTTGTCTTTCGCTCGGCTCAAATGCATCAATTGCGTTCGATATCGATCTCCTGTGATTGTTTCAGTCGGTTTTAACAACTCATAATATAATACATTACGCCGAACTGGTCCCAAATACAGAGCATGACCTTGGAGCCGTGAATATTTGATTTGGCCGTTGACGTGGAAGCATGACTTATATATCGACTTCGTTATTTTTTGGCATCTGTCTCGTAATTTCTCTGGCAAAATCGTACAAATTCAATGATTCTAATTCCTTAGGTCTGCTTGGATAGTAATCATCGATGAGCGACGGACAATAAATATTCGTAGAATTTTTGAGAGCTTTAATTTTATTAAATGTTTTAACTTTTCTGTTTCTCATCCCATTAACGTCAATCCATTTGACAATGGTATCACTGTCTATATCATACAAGGAATCTATACTATACAAGATCTATATCCTAGCAATGCAGCTTCTAAAGCACCGCAATCTCTGTTATTCAATGAATCGCAAAATTCCATTTCGATGCCAAGGGCTTATTGGAATCTATCATTGTAAAGTCTATATTGCATTTCTCCGACTTTGTCGCGTATTTTGTTAAGTATGAGTTTAAAAACTGATTTTTCTCCACTAAATTGTATGTCCATATTCCCGTCCCAGGCTAACTTGATAGCCGGATTATAATCTACAACTTAAGGCACTTCCCACTTGGAGCGAACAGACATATTCATCCCTAAGTCGTTTAAGATTGCAAAACTAAATACTCTGACTATGCAAAATAATTCTTTGCATTATGCGCTACTATTTCCAAACATTTTTTTATTTTTGCGCTGCAATCCTTAAGGCGCTTCTCTCTTGGAGCGAAAGTGTTGGACACTTTACGGCAGCGAGCTTCCAAAATAATCAATGATTGGAATACAATGATTTAAGAAATCATCAAAAAGCTTCCATCTCTATGTCAAAGTCATGTTAAAATCGGAGAGACGAAGAAAATGTGATTGCGTTCTCACGAGAATGGGCGATGGAGGAGCCTATTCTTTATTTTTAATATATTCATACAATCCGCATGACCCAAATTTTAATGGGTCATGGGTGTTTTGAGTCCTACCGTTTTGAGATGCAGCGTAACGTGTCCTCGATTTGTGCGCATTGTCATGCGACTGTGAATGTACACGCTAATGTTTTGCCTATCTTGGACCGCGGAGAAAACGTCACTTTTTGAGCGGTTGGGGCTCGATGTCCTTGACAGGATATACGATTCCATTGTCAGGGCGGCTATGTGCTCCGCGTGTTGGATGGCCCTCGCGGATTTCTGCGAGGCTATCATGCGCAAGAAGGAGTGGGAGCGTCAGGCTCTGAAGAGGCAAAGGGCTCCTTTAACTCGGGCCTGTCTGGGATCTAACGATAACAATGTGTAAAATTGTATATATGATGTATATTTAGGATAGTATTTAATATAATATAGGATAGGACTCTAGCTTTAAGTATTATATGGGGGACTATGGGAGAGTCGGGAGCGTATATTTCATGACTTGGGTGCAATTTGATTAAATGCCGCCGGGTAGGTGGTTCCGAAGTGTGCCCAATGTGGAGGTGCTGAGTAGGGGGAGTTTTTAAATAGATAGACGATAGATGATGTCCACTGTTCTTCCTTATAGGACTCATCAAATCCTGCACAATCAGGAGACAATCAAATCCTGCACAACCAGCTCCCGAGTCTTTCCACCATTCAGTTAAGTTTGCCTTCGAAAGAAGAATCATCATCGGATAAGAGGCTATGTAAAGATTTTTCTCTTCGCAAACAAAAGAAAAATATATTGATACAATATTAAAAATTCATTCTGTTGCAATAGAAATAAATATTAAAGATTGTGTTAAAATCGAAGAGATAAAGAAAATATGGTTACATTCTCAAGAATGGGTGATAGTGGGACCCATTCTTTATTTTGAGTATATATTCGTAATGACACACGCTACATCAATTGGGACGTAATGTCAGCTATCGAAATGCCGTTTGTTATTTTTAATTTGTCTTAGTTCTTTATAATTATATGCAAACTTTGGATAGCCTTTTCATCATATTTCGGTAACTTTTATTTAATTTTATTCCTTTTTTCAATCTGGAATTATTACTTATTAACATAGATTTACGGTATACGATATTTTTCTTCCCACTACATTTCTTAACGTAAGACTTTCGGAAGGTTAAGCAGTCACCTCAAGTTAAGAAATTATTAAAAATAAAATAGAGAATTCAACTCTACGATGATCGTGACATATATAGTCAAGGTAATGATCCTTGGTGATCATCAAAGGACAATTCACTTCTGATTACCTTGACCATCTCACTCATCACCGAACAATCTTTGGAAAATTGTAGCAGTCACCCATCATGCATTACAAAGCTATCCAAAAAATTAAAACGACCTTTACTCATATTATTAAAGTCACGACCCTGAGTGACTATCGGACACTTTTAGCAGACGTGAGAGAAGAAGAAAGAGAGGGTGAGTGTCGAGAGGAGTGATGGAGATGGATGGGAGGAGGAGAGGGGAAGAGGTGGAATTGGTGGAAGTTGGAAGAGATGTGTGAGTGAGAAGTGAGGGAAAAGAGAAACACATGTGACTGCAGACAGAGAAGAAGAAGATGTTACTTCATTTTTCACAAATATCATTACTTTTCGACCGCTTGTTCAGAACGGCTTGACCGATTTTTATTTCTTTTGGCTCAAATCTCGTGGCGATGCCGTCTTTCAGGATATGTTACGTGCGATTCAAAATTGTTTATATTTGAGTAGTCCTGTACCTCCAAAAAATGGACTTTGGTAGCTCAGGATAAAAAAAAGACACTATAATTTTTTTTTAACATAGCCGGAGACACTACCGTGTCTCCTGATATTCTGACTATGCAAAATAATTCTCAAATTTATGCGCTACTATATACAAACATTTTCGATTTTTGCGCTGCAACCCTTAAAGCACTTCCCTCTTGAACGAACAGTTATATAAACATTTGAACACTTGACCTTTTCATTTTTGATATTTTTGGGAGTACAGATTACAATTTTATTTTAGAAAATAAGTGCGATATGTTATTCTTAGTGCACAAAATATAAGTCATTTATTGAGATCTGATTTCAAATTTATAATTTATACTAACCCATACAATGAAAAATAATTGCTTACAATTCCAGAGTAGCAATTTGTTAATGACTCGGAAAAAGAACATAGCAGGCTGCTCTTAAAAAACTTTCGATGAATGGAATAAGTAATTGAAATAAAAGAGTTGTGAAAATAATTCAGATTAAAAGCTTCCATTTTTTTTATTATAGTAAAATTTCGAATTTTCGTTCAACTTTCGATTTTGAGTTCACCTCTAAATGTAAAATACATACTCTTATGACCGACATATTACAATAATGCAAATGTATCTATCTGCAAGTACTATAAGAGTGATTCAAAACAAACTTCTATTGTTAAAATGTCGTATTCTCGAGTTAATTCTGAGAAGATTTTTGCTCTTCGAAAATTTTGTCGCGATGCTTAGTTTTTAAATTATTAAGAGAAATAGTTAGCGAATCACGGATTAAATACAAGAGGTAGGCAGGGACGATGCAACTTGCCGTTAGACGTAGGTGTTTACGCGAGACAATTGCTACGATCTATTTGGTTTCACACAAAAGTACGCGCATAAACATTAGCACATTTTCGAAAAAGAAATATCTCAAATTAGTAATGCAAGATTCTTCTCTCTCTTTCTCTCTTTCTCTCTCTCTCACTCGCTCATTCACTCACTCACTCTCTCACTTGCTCACTCACTCACTCAGCACTTACTCTTTTATTTTTTATGTCAAGATGATTTAATAATTCCAAATTTCTAGAAGAAAAGCCGGAATTCCGATGAACTTTTCGATAGAATTCCAAACAGTGGAACTTCCAAACAATTAAGTGTTTCTTTTAATAAATTTAAATAATCATGTACAACACTAATTGTACACCTACTCGATCCATTGTTCACTCGTTTAAGAAAATGAGAAATTTATTAATGAAATTGAATTAATCATTATCAATCACTGCCGATTAATTATTTAACAGCGGCTGAAAACCGTACGAAAAAACACATGTTCTTGTCATACAACATACATTTACGAAGAAACGTATTATATAACACGCATTTACCTGACGATAGCAAGCAGTCAATTGACTTTACTAAC